TAAATCCCATTCATCGCTTTTACGTTGAGTGGTAAAGTTCAATTTCTGAAATCATTTAATTAGATCGCTACAAACGTCAAGAGATTCTCCTTTTCAGGATGGCGGTTACTGTTTGAATGTCAATTCTATTGTTGATAGTTTAGATTGGTGATCTCGTCAACTGACAAGATCCCGCAAGAACTGATAGTCCCGTAAGTGTTTATCGCAGGTGGTGGCTGTGATTTTCCCTCACTGGCTGGCGAGATCCGGCGCCGACCTACGTCAGCTTGCGGGGATTTTGCAATAAGTTTTTTCTGCTGAAAATTCGCCGTTTTCGCCTTCTTTTTGTGTGTTCCGCAGGGAAAAAGTAAAAAAAGTCTAATGGCTCCGTATAAATCTGTCATTTGTTGAGAAACTATTTATCGTTTCGTAGAAAATATCGCAAGTTTAGATGAAACATCATAAACAAGGGTATACATTTTTTTGATGTGAAAATCTCTAGAATGATTTTGAAAGGGTTGGACAGATTAGAATATGTGCACACAGATATAAATCAAAGTACTTTGGAAAACCTAAGAGCAATTTTTGTAGCAGTTCCCTGGATATAATTTAAAAATCAATGTCTTGTATTCTCTGTTTTTTGATAAGCCAAAAACTCAAGTAACATTCCACTGAAGATATGACAAATATCCATCACATTATATTTCTACAGGAGGCTGTCTCTGGTTTTCAGAGTTTCACTCAAATTGTCACAGAAGCCGTGATACTCAAATCGCCGTTATCCGTACGCCTAATACAAAAGTAAAGCACTAATTTTGACGAAAATTTTCTAGGAAAAATGTTACTTATGAGTGAAAAAATTCTCAATTTTTGTCGAAGGTGGGTTCTGACAATACTCACATACACGATAAAAACCTATGTCCTTTGTAATACGAAAATAAATAACTAGTACTTAAAAAAAACACTCTAGCTTGATTTTGAAAAAACTATGAGTAGGTTGGAACCGACGACAAAAAATCGGCCAACCCAGTGGGGGTATGAGACGTGGATCTTAGAATTTTTCAAAGGCAAATCTACTACTCGAAAGACACGAAGATCATGTCACAAAAAATTTTAATTTGGGGTGTAATTGAAAAAGTAAAGACTCGCAAATGGCAGAGAGCAGGGCATACTACGCGACAAAGTGACGGAAGATACACAAAGAAAGCGTTGGAATGGACTTAAGAGAGAGACAATCTATGAAGTCAACCGTCACAGCGATGGGATAAAGATATATAAAATAATAATAGAAAATTGGATGAAGAGGGCACAAGCGTGATGCCTGGAACCATGCTCCATTAATACTTATCGTAGACGTAAAAGGGCTACATCTTCAAATAAAGATTGATTTAACTGCATAATAAATTATATCCGGGATGTTTTGCTTTACCCTCTAGAAACCTCACAATTCTCATAAAACATCCTCCTCCCCAGGTTTTCGACCTAATATTTCAAAAACCCAAGTGTTAATGTTATTTCATGGTATTCTATTTAAAAAGATGTTTGGATTAGACGGTGCCTTTATACACCATAATCAAATCTTTATTAAATATGATTCTTTAACAAAAACAGAACCACTGAAGACAGAAGTTGGCGAATTTAAAGTTTAAAAAATGAGGTTAATAACCCATTTGAAACTGCCGTAACTTCGACAATTTTCGTCCAAAAATACTTTTATTATATAGAAAAGTTAAGTTTACAATCTCTACTTTAAGAATTATTTGAGAAACCTACAATAGACGGAGATTCTGTTCAACCATCTATTGTGTGAAAATCTTCATGTTAAAAAACCAACAGATTAGCGGTCTGTAATGCATACAAGGGTCAAAATTACATGAATGAATGTTAATTTATTGAACTTCAATGGATTTCTGTATATGATAATTCCAACTCTAGTGAATAATTGAAAAACAAAGGACAGAAGCTCAGCCCAATGAAAGTAGTTTAATTTACAGGAAACTGACACTTGTATGAAATTGACACAGATGATCATGTATGCTTAGTGACGCATCCATCAACAGATAATCAGACATGCGAATAGTAAACGCCTTCATTTGTTTTCATTAGCACTTGTATTATTTACGACAGACAAATATACGTATTACAAAGACCGACAGATGTGTCTTCTTAATTTCACATTTGCAAAAATTAAGTACTAATAATTTCGTAATCAGTTTGTATTCTTTTAATGATCATAAGTAATTTAATGTTGTTGAGTCAGTTCTCTATGTTAACTGCACATTCGGTATTATCAGCGATCATTAACAAACTACTTTTACGTATTTCATACCGAGAAAGTATTGGATTAATCTGTAATCGGTTTCAAAATTTACATACTGAAATTTGAAGAAGAGACACTGCAAGGTATCCCTTTCGAAACCTCTCACATTTCATGGAATCGTAAGGAACAAACTGCACAAGTTACGATAATGAAGTATGCTAGAGGAACTAAAATCATAATATGAATGGATTTTAACACATGAGCGATTGGTAGCACGAAGAATATCAAGTCTATATTCAATGTCTTGGCATGTTCGTCTTAAGATGATCTCTGTCACTGAAGCAATAGCATCGATGCTACGTCTTAACACATGCGATGCTTGAAAAATCTGCACAAGAAAACTCCAGTGGGGTAATGTTGGGGGGAGTGTGCTGGCCAGAGAAGGGTCCTTCACGCCCGCTCCAGCGATAAGAAAATTTCCCATTTAGAATTTCGCGAACTTCTGTGCAGCTTGGAGCTCCATCATGCATAAAGACGATGTTGGGATACTAATTTCCTGAGGGTAAATGAGCTGCTCCAGCATGTCAAACTGCATTACACTGCATGATGCACTGCATTTCTTACTGTACTTTCTGCAAAGAAAATAGTTCCAACAATCCTGTATTTCATGAACACACATAAGACATTCAGTTTTGGGCTTTTGCGGACTTGTTCCATGATAGCGTGCGAAAGCGTGCGAATTTTGCGAGCCCCCAAACCGAAACTTTGCCCGTTAATCGTTCCTGTTATGTGCAATTTGGCTCACCTGAAAGTGAACAACGTGCCAGAAAGCTGCCATTCACGACAATACGCTGCAACATATCCAAAGGAAATGCTTTTCGGCATGATTTGTTGTTCTGCATATGCTGTGAAGGAATCCGCATTTTGTACGCATACAACGGAGCCTCTTGTGTACTACACGATGCAATATTGGTTGAGGGACATTTAATTGCGTCGATGCCCGCCGAATGGACTTACGCGGACTTCTGTCAAATGCTTTTCTCATGTTCTCAATTTCCTCTTCCGAAACGAGCACCTCCAGTTTCAGAACGCTTCCAGTAGCCGAAAACCTCCCATATCATTCCTTAATTTCCTTTGCATCAGGCGGATCTTGTGTAAGTTTTTGCATCGGCGATGATTTCTTTGCATCGTGATATTCGATTTTGTTTCCGAAAACCACACTATTTGCGAGCTTCAGTGGAGAGCAATTTTCACTTCATATAATCGTGACGTACACAGGTGGTACATATTGGAAACTTTTAGTGTGGAAATAAAAAAATATATTTGAGTTGCTCTAGCATATTGGGGAATTTTACTATCTTTTACAGTTTTATCCCCTTCGTTTCCATGAAACGTGGGAGATTAGAAGGAAACACCTGTATATTAATAACTCTGATTCGTCAAATGTACACTGCACCACAGGAATACTGTGGAGGCGCCTAAGCCACAATATTAAATGACATTTTGTTTGCATTCTGAGTACATAAATTTCGTAAAAACAATACATTAAATTATTGCGAGTTCTCCTGACCCTTTATTTTTGATTCATATAAATTTCGCAAAATTTCTCTCTCGTGAAACATCTTTGGAGAGGTTCCGATGCTTCACAGAACTTTAAAATTTTTATTATCTTTGAAATTAAGTATTTCTGCATTTATTTATCATCTTATTCGTCAGAATATAATCGATTAATACAGCGTTTCTTTCACTTTTTAATCCCTTGTACGTTTAAAAAATTCTGCGGACCATTGTATTTATATCATCTGCATCGATAATACACATACACACAAACACACACACACATATATATATATATATATATATATATATATATATATATATATATATATTGTACGGTGTGTTTGAGGCAAAGGAAGCATGAAAAATGCTGAAAAATATATACAGAGACTCTGAAGCCTTCGAAGTATAATGGAGTTACGTCGAATCATTAAAATTACTCATTAATAATATTATTTACATGTCGTACAAAAGTCGATAAAGAGCAAGCTTTTTTTTCTTTCTGCAGGTCGAAAATAGAGCGTTAAAATGACGATGGAAAAAATTAAAGCATTTTTTTTATAGTTTTGAACTGGTTTATTGGCCCAGAAAAACATTTACACCCCCCGGCCATTTTCAGTATCTTATCCCGCAACCCTCTTTTTTCTCTTCAGTTTGGCCCATTTTCTAGTATAGTTTTATAATTTTCTTTCTCAGCATTGCTGGAAATTTCCATTCAATATGTATTTTGACATTGTTCCACATCCTGTTCTATTGCCTCGAATATTTGACTCCAAAAAACGATCCATTTTCTCCTTACTTTAATAAACACCATTCCATACAAATATCAAATCCACTTACAGTTTATACTCAATGAAAAATAACATTTATGTGTTAAACATTTTAAAATTATTATTGTTACTGTATTATCGTTAAAGAATACACGTTAGGCAAGCTTAATACGCAGGAACAATTCATTTTGATGAAGAAGGCAGATTTACACGAAGTTTCTTGCCCATCACTCATGTAATGCCAACTTCTTGGTTTAAAAATACAGCAATTAATATAAATGCACTACACTGTATATCACGTTCAATGATACACGATTACGAATGTCGGAACGTTTGTAAAGAGATTCCAGAAAAGAGAAACCAATATAATAAAAACTATATCACTAACTCTACTTTACGCATTGAAGCATATTGCAGAATTAACATTTACTCACTTTGAACCACTCCGGATAAATGGCGATAATCGTGTCAAAGAGGTCCTGGTCCAAGTGGATTCTCCAGAACAGGGTGCCGTTGTCCAACCTGTGCCCAGATTCTGCAACAAAGCAAAAAAAGAAACAAGGTTCGTCAGCTTCAAAGCAGCACTCACCCTTCCAAACACAACACACTTTCCCCGACAACTCAAACACTTGTTGTCTGACAACTTACTCGGGAGAGGCCTACTAGCACACACCCTCCCTTCAAGATGCGAATTTTTTCAAGTGATATTAAAAAAGATCTGATATTATCTGAAATTAACTCCCCATCTAACTGTACTAGTACTTAAATGCAATATAACAGATGTTATAACAGATGGAGTAAATACACTTTCGATTCAATTGATACACAATTCTTAGAGGATTGTCAATTATATTCAAATGTGTAAGGTCCATTAAGGACACTGGCTTGGTATGTACAGAGCAATCACGACTCTTACACAATAGTACAACCAAGTAACATTTTTTAATTTTTCGGTAGTTTGTTCTTTTGCACGTTTTCACGAGAAAGCTCTCAAGCCGAAGTGGCCGCTTGAAACATGCGATAGAGCATGGCGTAAAGCCATGCTCTGGCATGCAGAGCAATGGCGTAAAATAAGCATGAAACGCACTAGAGGCGGTCCGGCCAGCCTGGCGAGCCCAGGCAGCAGAACCGCAACTGCCGGGAGCTGCGCGCCAGCGCGTCGGCCGGAGGCGTAGTCACTCTTCCGCTTTTCGGCGGCCGGCAAGAGAAGGGTGCGGGCGTGGGCAGTGCTATGGTGATGTGGTGGCGGTGGCGGCGCGGCACGGAGTCGTCCTCCGAGGTGGGGGGGATGCGTGGGCCACGCGCAGCGCGAGGTGGGTGGGTGGAGCCCGCACGGCCGCCGTGGCAATGAACGGCAAGGTCAGAAAGCAAGGAGGCACGGCGTGGGCTGCTGCGCGGCGGCGCGGCGGCGGCCCTGCCCCTCACGTGTGGCGGCCGCCACATTAGCATACAGGAACACAAACACGCGCGCTCGGCCCCGCCGCACCGGCTGAGCCGAGCGAGCTGAGCAGAGCTGAGCGACCGAGC